CATTTTGATTGGTTTAATTATAAGTTATTATCACATTACATTATTATATAATCAAATATTTGATGTTATATTTAAAAAAAATTATTTGTAAATTTGTTTAAATTAATTTATAAATTAAAAAAATCATTATAAACTAACAATAAATTAAAAATAATATATCGATTTTAATGATAAAAAAGAATTTTTATGTAATACAATATATATATTTATATAAATTGAGCGATAACACATAAAATTTTTTTATAATATTTAATAAAATCCAAAACGTCTTATAAATTATTTTTTTGGTTCAAATATAATCTGTATTTTTAAATTTTATCTTAATAGATCTTTATCACTAATGACGTATCTAACACTTTTATAAAAATATTTACTTAAAAAAAATATACTAACGTGTATATTAAATTTAAAAATATTATTAATATGTCAATTACACAATTAATTATTTTATTAATAGCATGTTATTTTGTAATATTATATTTATATGTGTTGTTGAGTTAGATAATTATATTTAAATAAAAATTGAAAAATATTAAAGCATAGTCAACTTTAAAGATTTTTTTTTTAATTTTATTGAAAAAAATTTGAAAATTTGAATTATATTTGAGTTAAAAAAATATTTTATATATAAATTTAAACATGTTGAAAGGTCTTTACACTTTTTGATGTATTATTGTTTTAAAAATGAGATAAAAAGATAAAAACTAAAGTTATTAATTATAATTTACCACAAATATTTTAGGGTAATGCAAAAACCTGGTGGATAAGACCGCCGACGTGGAAAGTCAGAGAGCCACGTCAAGTAACGATATAACTGGCCACTCAGATCTGAAGGTGGCAGTTGATTTTGAATTGAATGATTTAAAATTGCGGGAAATTCAATGAAAAGGACAGGAGAGTTACCGTAAGAGTGACACGTGGAGGCTCTTGGAAAGTGTCGCTGAGTCATCTCCAGATCAGCCTGTTCCCCTACTACAATTTATTTGCAATTTTTCGATTTCTTATTTTTTGTGAGGCTGTATATTTCTTGGCAAATGAAAAATCAAAAAACATTGTGCTGCATGTCTATGTGTGTCTATATATATCTATATATATATATATTATATTGTGTATGTGGGTATGATGAGTTTGGCTAATATATGTGATATAAAATGATGAGTTTGTGCTGGCGGTGGTGTTAAGGCATTGTAAAGATTCAATAAAAGCACATGGTATGTGCATTGTGTTTTATGCATGTACCACTTAGATTTGCTGATGGAGGTTTTGTAATATCCGAATCTAAAATTTGGTGATTAATTTTAAAATTTAAAAAATATATAAATATATAATTTTAAAATTAATAAAATTTTATTTAATATAAAATTAAGAAAAAAATATATTGACAATGAAATTAAAAATAATTTTTAAAAAAATTGGTCAAAATTTAGATTTGGATGGTATATTTAAAAGAAAAATAAAAAATTGTGGGTCAAAATATAATTTAAAAAAATTATGCTACATAAGACTGCCCAGTCAGCAGCCCCGACGAATCAGAGCATGCCACGTGGCAAGGCACGCTGACTTGGTGCCACATAGGAGCCCATGATGGCAATCCACGTGCCTGTGATCGGACAGTCTGGAAGCGTTTCCGCGCGCGTGGACGGTCCGGATCCGTTCCCTCATCAGGTGCGATTAAACACGATGAACGGTCCATATTCGTTCCCTCTTTAAACGCGATCGGACGGTCGAGATCAAATCACAATGAACAGTTCAGATTCATTTCATCTTTAAATGCGATCGGACGGTTAATATCAAATGCGATAAATGGTCCAGATTTAAGCGAGACGGGTATAAATATCTCGCATCACACCGAATCCAAACCCTACTCGCCAGTCTCCCGCTAGAGAAGAAGAACCAATTGTTGGAGAAGGAAGCCTACCACCGCTTGTTGTTGCGCTGGAGCCACCTCCGACCATCAAAAAAGATAAAAGTTCTCATATCCACTCGAAATTTGATTCTGAGCGATCCCATGGCTAAATCAGAGCAAAAAGAACCGGGGATAAGACAGAAACTGCGGGCAAAGCTCGGTAGCGCTATCATGGGCAAAATTCAAAACCGCCTCCGATGAGCTCCTTCTCGTTTTTCATTTCGTGCGATTTTTCCACTATTGTGTTCACCGTTCTATTTTCTACAGGTTGATTAAAGAAAAATACCTAGTCACGAAGGTGAACCAGCGGAGCCGTTACACCAAAAAATTCCACCACCGGTAGGTTTTTGTTTTTTGACTTTTTTCAGCCAATCGAAGCCCCCAAACGTGTTTTCTTGTAGAGATGGGTATAAAACCGACCGAAATCGGCAAAAACTAGCTGAAAATGGCCAGACCAAGGCAAACCGCCACCGCAGATGGCAGTGTCGTCGCTGTGCTGGAATTCTAAAATTAGCAAGAAAAGGTTTTTAACACCGATTTTAGATTTTTTAGGATATTTTTAGGTATATGAAGTGTGTTTTAATCTCCACAAGAAAATTCAAGAAACCTGGGGACTGTCAGTAGGCGCAGTAGAAAGTTTGGTACTTCAGACACCGATTCAAGTAAGAATCTCTCATCTTATTCCCTATTACGGAATTAAAGCTTAATAATAAGCAATATGGTGTTTTGTGTAATTTGAAAAAACTTTAAAAATTATTACAAGTTAATAATGGAGCCAGAAACTAGTTAGTAATTTATTTATTGTCCTATTTAACTGATTGTTGAATTTACAGCTTTAAATATTTGATGATATACTGGAATGGTTAATTAATTCAATTGTGCTTCCTTAATATATATATTGCTTGTCGTGCGTGATTTACGGTTGATTTGTGAAATGGGTAATTATTATACCAACGAAAAATTGATTAGTAATATGAATTAATGAGTGGTAGCCTTACTAAATATCCTGGGAGATAGTGGACAGACCGAGTACATAGGGAACCCTACCATTGAACATTGCCTCATAGCATAGGGGATATCGAGAATTAGTATTTTTGGCGCTCATATTGGACGGAGTATGAGGACGGCTCGATTCACTCTCATATTGGACGGGGTATTGAGAAATGGTATTTTTGGCACTCATACCATACGGGGTATGGGGACGTCCGCTTAATTGACAATGTTGAATATGGATTCACGCGTAGTAGGATATGTAATACCCAAATTTTATTATTTTTATTTTTTAATTTATTTTAATTTATATTAGAATTTTAGTTTAATATTTGATTTATAAGGTTTTAATTTAATTTAATTTAATTTAATTTAGTAAAAATAAAAATAATAATAATGATAAAATATGGTAAAATTATTTTTGGGATTTAATTGAAATTGATTTTGAAAAAAAGTGGTAAAAATTTGGATTTTGTGGGTGTTTTTGAAAAGAAAATCAGAAACCAGGGGTCAAAAGAAAATTTAAGAAAGTTGTGCCACGTCAGCAGCCACGGCAGCAACCCAGTAAGCAATCCCGGGCAACCAGAACACGCCGCGTGGCAAGGAAGCTGACGTGGGAGGCCACGCGGGACAGAACCACATGGGTGATCCGCGTGCACGCGATCGAACGGTCCAGATCTCACGCGTGCGGACGGCCCAGATCTCACGCGCACGGACGGCCCAGATCGCATTGCGATGGACGACCTAGATTTATTCCCATTTAAATCGTGATCAGATGGCCCAGATTAAATCGTGATAGACGGCTGAGATTAAAAGGGGAATGTTATAAATAACCTCACCCACACCCGACCCCAAGCCCTAGCCGCCAGTACCATCGCCGGAGAAAAAGAACCAGTCACCGAAGGAGCCGGCCACCGCCACCTGCCGCCGCACCGGGGGGTTTTTCGACCGCCAAACGAGGTAAATTTTCTCCCATTGGCTCGTTTTTTGATGCTGAATCCGCCTATGGCCAAATCGGAGCCAAACCACCGGCCAATCAACCGAAAAATACCGCCGAAGTCCAACGGCGCTGCCGTGGCTCCAATCAGTTTTGCCTCCGATGAAGCCCTTTCTGGTTCCCGTTCGATGCAATTTTTACACCACTGTGATCACCGTTCTTTTCTCTACAGTTGACTGGAGTAAAACATCAAATCGCA